GTTGAAATAAAATGAAAAAAAACCGGTGAATTAGTGAAAACACTTGTGTGTGTTGGAATCACCCTTCAGTGCCAACAAAAAGTTTGCAAACCAGTGTGCACTTCGTAGCTTAAAGTTAGGGTTATCCTTGGGGGGCGCCAACAGGTCTGGCCAAATTATACACTGCTTATATTGATCCAACAGCTTTCCCAGGAATATGGGTAATCTCCACAATCCTCCCTGGATTCCTTAACTCAATGATCCAATGACTCCAGGCCGACTTCACTCCATCCAGAAGATAAAATATGAGGGACATAATAGTGTAATGGGGGGGCAATCATATAATAATATGGTCCGGTTTCTTCATATGTTACATCAAAAAGGCCTTTAAAAATCACCCTTGTTTATCCCCAGTACGATAGCCCTACAAGCCATCCAGGGAAAACCGTCCAATTACCCACCTAATGACAATAAGTTCCCTTCTCCAAAATGGGACCGACGGTCAAACTTCCGGTTTCCTGTGTAAAGTCTTGACGTATATTCCTTAACGGTGTTTCGTCATCGACTTACTCACTTATGATTAGGGTAATTAGGGGTAATTAGTTGATGGGACTTTATTAGTTGTTGTTTAAATTAACTTTGTTTAAAACTTTAGACATTATAATTTGTTACACCGTTCAGGGAAGGATTTGTGTTGTGTTGTGGGGTGTTTTAGTATTATTTTGGAGACGGTTCTTTGTTGATAGAGATTTATGAAGAGAGATAGAGAGTGAGATAGTGAGAGAGCCGAGAGATAGAGTGGGAGAGAGAGATAAGATGAGAAGAGAGAGAGAGATAGCTGAGAGAGAGAGAGAGAGACGGGAGCGATGGGAGAGGAGAGGACGAGAGCAGAGAGAGTGAGAGATAGTAGTTAGATCTTATCTTATAATAATACATACATACAATACATAAGACACTTAACATCTATAAACATAATAATACAAGTGTGCCACAATGTGCTCCTATATAAGTGTTCAAATACTCTTTGTGGACCCGAGGTCCTGATAAACACCACTACCACGTGACCAGCTTTGTTCCGTAAGGTTACACGTGCTATCACGGAGATCGCCAGGAGCGCTCACCCCATCGGCGCACGCAATAGAGCCAGTTCTGGGAGGACATTCATTATGACGCCCTCCCAAGAAACTGGGACGGCGCCAGGTGTAGCCATCATTGTGGACTATCTGCAGTTGGACAAACCTGGTTAAGTATATTATATAACATGGCCCACACTCAACTTGGTTGTAAATCAAATCACAGCAACGGACAGCAAAAAAAAATACTTGCATGCATGGGTTTGTACTGGCATAATTTAGGAATTCCATTCTGGTGTGTTCCAAGATGGCGCCGCGGTGCTGGATGTTACGTACACCGTGGACCGGTAGCTGCGTTTCACCCGAGTTATGGAAATAAAATAATAAACGTAAATTTCGGGGGCAAGGTTTAGGATTGGGCCCCTGATTTTAGTCCCTTGGACAAGTAGTTTTTTTCAAAAATTGATACACCCCTGGTTGACACCAATAAAAAGCGCCATTGTTAAATAGGGACGCTTTAAAACTTCACACAAACCGATCAATAAATTTACTTTCTGGGATTTTTTTCTTTTGCCCAGACATGTAGCTGAACACATTTTGGGCAAAAATTTATGAGAATGAAATTTGCTTTTTTTTTTTTTTTTTTTTTTTTTACTTATATTAATGAATATGTTTTATAGCAGAAAGTAAAAAAAATCTTGTTTTTTTTATTTTTTTTTTTTTTTTTTTATTTTGATTATATGCTTAATAGAAACAAAAAACTTAAAACAAAAACAAACAGTGGTGATCAATATACACATCCAAAAAGGAAAGGAGCTCTATTTGTGTGAAAAAAATAATAGAAATTTTGCTTGGATACAATGTTGTAATTGCCAGTTAAAGTAATGCAGGCCATAGATGGGGAGAAAAACTGCAGATTTTTCTTTTAAAAAAACGAAAAATCGGTTGTTCAAGTGGCCGACGTTACATCAATGGTAAAAAAAAAAAAAAGAAATCGTGATAGCCGATTTTCTACCAGTCTAGAGCCGGCAAAAAAGTGTCCCTGCAGAGAGCTCCGCTATTTCTTTGACAGTTCTCTGACAGTTCCTTGACATTTATAGAAGTTGCAACAATGTATCTATTTGTTTCCATTTAGGATACAGATGTTTTTATTCGGAAACAAATAGATACAATGTTTCAAACCGCTGTAAATGTCAAGGAACTGTCAGAGAACTGTCAGAAATAGCGGAGCTCTCTGCAGAGGACACTTTTTGCTGGACTGGAATTCTTATTTTCATCCTACTTCTTCTTCTTCTTCCTCTTTCTTCTTCTTCATCATCCTCATCTCTTCTTCTTCTTCTTCATTCTTCTTCTTCAATCCTCTTCTTCTTCATCCTCCTTCTCTTCATCCTCTTTTTCTTCATCCTCATCCTCATCCTCACCCTCTTCTTCATCCCAGCGACCCTCTTCTTCATCCTCCCTTTCTGATCATCCTCACCCTCTTCTTCATCTCACCTCTTCTTCAATCCTCACCTCTTCTTCATCCTCACCCTCCTATTCATCCTCACTCCTCTTCTTCATCCTCACCCTCTTCTTCATCCTCACCTTCTCTTCTTCATCCTCACCCTCTTCTTCATCCTCACCCTCTTTTTTTCGGCCGAAAAATCGGCCGAAAATTCGGCCTGTATTTTCGACCCATCTATGGTCTGCATAATGCAGTGCCAAATAAAAAAAACAAAAAAAAAAAACCCCAAAACCAACACAAAACCCCCAAAAACCAAAAAAAAACCCAACAAAAACACAAAAAACCCCCCCAAAAAAAAAAAAAAAAAAAAAAAAAAAAAAAAAAAACACAACAAACCCTCCACCCCAAAAAAAAAAAACCCCACCATTTCCAGGAGCCAAAAACCCCTTCCAAACATTGATCTTCAGATGGGTGCGGGGGGGGGGGGGGGGGGGGGTTAGAGGTCAAGTATTTAAAATGCATTTTTATTCCAGAATCCCGCAATGTGCAGCCCGGAGAGGAAAGAGCCGATTCACAACAAAGTATTGCGGATTGTCTGTACAGTTCCCCATGCCTGTAAATCACGGCTAAATACGAGGAAATAAAACCGTGTCTTACAATCACCCAACACACAGATGTAAACAATGCCTAACCTGCAAAACCTGTCGGTTTTCTATTTATAGCCGGAGAATTATTTATAAAACGCCGAGTGCTGTCGGTTATTTTCTACAAGTTTTCCTTGACAAAAAAAAAAAAAAAAAAAACACACGACAATGTGATACAATACTCAGGAACACGAAAACTGGTCCCCTCCCCTCCATCCCCTCCCCCACGCGACGCGATTTCTAAAGCAGTTCTCACATTTCTTTTGGTCCCGTTTGCACCGATCCGACTTCTAAATCGTTCGACTTCACTGGAAGTGACACAAATTTCAAAGTCGGATGTGATTCTGACTCGCAAGACGCCTTCGGTTTGCAGGAACACAGACGTCTTAGGTAAGTGGCCCCTGAAGTAGTCGCAGGCACTACTTAAGAAATCGGTGCAGCTCCGGAATCGCACTGATCGGCCCGCTTTAATTGCGGACAATAGGGGGCGACTTACAAACTCGCTTACCACGGCAGATCACATGACGAGTCGCACCCTGGGGGTGTAAAGAATATTTTCACTACTAAAATACCACATGACATCATAAAATGACGATATTGGAGGCGGGTGTTTTTTTTGGGGGGGGGGGGGGGGTAAATCCTATCTTACTCGGATGCTTTGTGAATTTTCCCGGTTTTCAGTCGAACTTTTGTTAGGTTTAGAATGTTCGACCACAAACCGAATAGGGGGGGGGGCGGGTGTTCGGCCCACCGCTAGTGGCTGCATTTGTGTATTTTTTAGGCTCCCCCCCCCTCTGTTTTCACCTGATGATCTGGCCAGTAACACACCCCCTGTATTAGCGCCCCCACTCTGGATGAAGGAACACAGGGGGCACCTTTGGACAGCAGCATTGGTGATCTGGCCGGTAGCACACCTCCTGTATTAGAGCGCCCCCACTCTGGATGAAGGAGCACAGGGGGCACCTTTGGACAGCAGCATTGGTGATCTGGCGGTAACACACCCCCTGTATTAGAGCGCCCCCACTCTGGATGAAGGAATGCAGGGGGCACCTTTGGACAGCAGCATTGGTGATCTGCCGGTAGCACACCTCCTGTATTAGAGCGCCCCCACTCTGGATGAAGGAGCACAGGGGGCACCTTTGGACAGCAGCATTGGTGATCTGGCCGGTAACACACATCCTGTATTAGAGCGCCCCCACTATGGATGAGGGAGCACCTTTGGACAGCAGCATTGTCAGTCTGGGGGGAGGGGAGTGTTAGATGGACTAGAAGATTTAAATACACCAACAAACTGAACTCAAACTCCAGCTAATACTTTATAAGTAGTTACAGCAAATAGTTTGTTTTCTTTTGGGATGAAGATTTAACATGAATAAATAAAATCTGATCGTGGTCAGCATCCCTAACAGTGTTAAGTGGTTTGCCTCATTCCGTGTAAATTGGTACAAGCTGCTGGAGAGCTTGTGCTTCTGAAACAACAGACTTACTGGCTGGATCACCAGGTGAAAACAAAGGAAAGAAAGCCTAAAAAAGAAAATGAATGCAGCCGTCACAGCTGAGAATTGGTAAGCTGCAATATAATAAATGTTTGATTTTGGGTTTAATACCGCTTAAGGTCGGTTCACACCATGAAAACACACTCCGGATTTCTTCCAGATGCGTCTCTGCATGTGTGAGTTTAATGCGGAGCTCCAGCCACACCTACAAAAAATAAGTCAGCAGCTGTGATAAAAGTCAAAAACTGTAACTGCTGATGAAAAAAGGTATTTATCAGGTTTATATTTACCAAAATAATTGCATTTGCATGTTCTGTGTACTGGGGGAGAGCGGATACAGCGCATGCGGGGTCCGGGGAGAGCGGATACAGCGCATGCGGGGTCCGGGGAGAGCGGGGATACAGCGCATGCGGGGTCCGGGGAGAGCGGATACAGCGCATGCGGGGTCCGGGGAGAGCGGATACAGCGCATGCGGGGTCCGGGGAGAGCGGATACAGCGCATGCGGGGTCCGGGGAGAGCGGATACAGCGCATGCGGGGTCCGGGGAGAGCGGATACAGCGCATGCGGGGTCCGGGGAGAGCGGATACAGCGCATGCGGGGTCCGGGGAGAGCGGATACAGCGCATGCGGGGTCCGGGGAGAGCGGATACAGCGCATGCGGGGTCCGGGGAGAGCGGATACAGCGCATGCGGGGTCCGGGGAGAGCGGATACAGCGAATGCGGGGTCCGGGGAGAGCGGATACAGCGCATGCGGGGTCCGGGGAGAGCGGATACAGCGCATGCGGGGTCCGGGGAGAGCGGATACAGCGCATGCGGGGTCCGGGGAGAGCGGATACAGCGAATGCGGGGTCCGGGGGGAGAGCGGATACAGCGAATGCGGGGTCCGGGGAGAGCGGATACAGCGAATGCGGGGTCCGGGGGGGAGAGCGGATACAGCGAATGCGGGGTCCTGGGGAGAGCGGATACAGCGAATGCGGGGTCTGGGGAGAGCGGATACAGCGAATGCGGGGTCTGGGGAGAGCGGATACAGCGAATGCGGGGTCCGGGGTTTAGTAACAGTTTAAAGGGACAGCATAAAAAAAAAAAAAATTAAAGGGGCACCATAAGAATTTTTTTTTTTAAATGGGACAGCATAAAAATAAAAAAATTAAAAGGGGTACCGTAAGAATTTTTTTTTTTTTTTTTTTTAATGGGACAGCGTAAAAATATTTTTTTTTTCTTACGCTGTCCCTTTAATTCTTTTCTTATGAAAAAAAAAAATATTGGGACAGTGTAAAAATAAATAAAATCTGCTCACTTTTAGGCGATCTCTGAAAACCTCTCTCTTCAGGGAAGCCTATCCTGCCCTCAGCTAATAATGGAATCTTCTATTCCTCCTACCAGTCCATCCCCCACAGTTACTACCTTTTGTACCACTAGCCCCTCCCTCCTAGATTGTAAGCTCCAAGGAGCATATCATTGTATTGTATCCCTTTATAATGTAAAGTACTAAGCAAACTGCTGGCCCTGTATAAATCCTATATTATAATAATAGTAATATTTTTTTTTAAAAAAAGGACAGTGTAAAAATAAAAACAAAAGGTACAGCATGAAAAACAAAAACAGAGGGAGAGTGTAATCAACAAAACCAGAGGGACAGTGTAAAAAAAAAATAAAACCAGAGGGACAGTGTAAACAACAAAAAAAAAATAAAACCAGAGGGACAGTGTAAACAACAAAAACAGAGGGACAGTGTAAACAGAAACAGAGGGACAGAACAACAAAAACAGAGGGACAGTGTAAACAGAAACAGAGGGACAGTGTAAACAAAAACAGAGGGACAGTGTAAACAGAAACAGAGGGACAGTGTAAACAGAAACAGAGGGACAGTGTAAACAGAAACAGAGGGACAGTGTAAACAAAATAAAATAAAGACTATAAAAAGTAAAAATAAAGAGACAGTGTGAAAAAAAAAATAAAGGGGCGTGTGCAATTTGTAAAGCGTGTCATGTTTGGTATCTATTTCCTCGGCGTAACATCTTTTTATATTTTGCCGAACACCTATTTTGTGTTTTTGTACTTTAAGATTCAAAGTGTATTTTTTCCCCTAAAACTTGTGTTTGAAAAACCCGCCTCGCAAATACAGCGAGACAAAAAAAATTGCAACACCCACCAATTTATTCTCTAGGGCCTCTGCTTTAAAAAAAAATACATAATAAATGTTAGGGGGGTAATTTTCTGGCAAACAAATCCTGGCCCCGCCCACTTCCAGGTGCCATTGTACGCAGATCACGCGTGCTAGTCACTTTAGTGGTCATAAATGTTCTGGCTGATCGATGTACACAGACGTTATCTACAGATAAAGCTCCCCCTCCCCCCCACCGGATGTCACGGATCCGCTCCCTCCCTCCCCCGCAGGTCCGGACACATTTGGTCCCCCAACCCCCCCCCCCCCCCCCATCACATAGGGACTCCCCGTCCCCCCGCTGACTCACCCTCTCTGGCCTTGATAGAAGCCGCGGGAGGCCTCCGCTGGAGACGAGCCCAGCCCTCCCACCTCGGAGGCCGCCGCTTCTTCTCCTCGTACAGACCGCCGCTCCCGCCTCTCACCGCTCGGTCGGGTCCCCCCCTCCCCCAACGGGGCCCTACAAACATCCACAGCCCTCCTTCTGGACGCACTTCCTGAAGCCTTCAGTCTCCGACCACGTGACCGGGGGAGCTCCTGGGGTGTCACGTGAGACGGGCGGAGACTACAGCCATCTGTCAGCGGGGTCACGTGGGGGTGGGGGGCTGACGTCATCTCAAGCCTGGTCTTCGAAAAAATGGCGGCCGGCGGCCTGTATCTGGAGACAACGTTTTAAAAAGATAGCTCTGCCAATTTATCTCTACCCTCCCTAGGCCTTTCTGCATTGGGATTATTTTAAGTGGAACTCTAACATTACAGAGAGAAAAAGGACTTCTTCACTGTAGGTGAAGGTTCTGAAGGATTTTGTGTCCATTAGACATGTGCAGAATGAAAAAAATGTGTTTTGCTTCGGATCGATTCGTTAAGTGACTAACTTTGTGTACGTTGCATTTATAAGAAAATTTGTTTAGTTTTGTTTCTTTTATTCCTTTTCAACCAGATTTAAATTTCTCCAATAGATTCAAAGTATTCAAATAAAATTAGAATCGAAAATATCATATCAATTCAAATTCATTGTGAAGAATAGAAGGTGTTATTCTATTCGAATTATAGATTTCAGAAGATGGCTATATTCTTTCTATTTTATTCTATTCTATTCCTTTAATTTCTATTCTGTTTTATTCTTTTCTTATTGGAATATGGCTATATTAATTCTATTTTTTTACTTTCTATTTTATTTTGTTCTGTTTTATTCTGTTCTTTTTGAAATTCATATTTCGGAAGATGGCTATATTCATTCTATTCTAGTATTTTATTATTTTATTTTATTTTCTATTGTATTATTTTCTAGTCTGCTCTATTTTTTTTTTCTATTCTATGCCTTTATTTTCTATTCTGTTCGATTTTACTCTATTCTTTTCTATTATATTCTGTTTTTTATTCTATTCTTTTTTAAATTCAAATTTCAGAAAACGGCTATATTTATTCTATTCCATTCTTTTATTTTTCTATTCTATGTTATGCTTTTCTATTCTATTCTTTTATTTTCTATTCTATTTTATTCTATTATTTTACTTTCTATGCTAGTCTGTTGTTTTACTTTATTTTTTCTATTTTATTCTGTTTTATTCTATTCTTTTTAAATTAAAATTTCAGAAAATGGCTATATTTATTCTATTTCATTCTTTTATTTTTCTATTCTACTTTTATTCTTTTCTATTTTATTCTTTTCTTTTCTATTTTATTCTATTAGTTTACTTTCTATGCTATTCTGTTGTTTTACTTTATTTTTTTTCTATTTTATTCTGTTTTATTCTATCCTTTTCAAGTTTCGGAAGATGGCTAAATTCATTCTATCCCATTCTTTCTATTCTATTCTTTTATTTTTTATTCTATTCTTTTCTAGTCTGTTCTATTTTTTTTCTATTCTATGCCTTTATTTTCTATTCTTTTCTGTTCTGTTTTACTCTATTCTGTTCTAATCTATTGAGTTTTATTCTATTCAGTTTTTTCTATAATTCAAATTTCAGAAGACGACTATATTCATTGTATTCCATTCTTTTATTTTCAATTCTATGCCTTTATTTTCTATTCCATTCTTTTCTATTCTTTTTATTTTCTTTTCTATTTTATTTTATTCTATTCTTTTACTTTCTATTCTGTTCTGTTTTACTCTATTCTTTTCTGTTTTATTCGATTCTTTTTACATTTCGGAAGACAGCTATATTCTAACACTAATACACACAGCCTTTGAAGGAAATTAGCAAGAGTCAGCAATAATTTTATATTTTGTATTTCTTTTTGAATTCAATATCGATTTCAAATTTGATTCAAATTGGTTTTGAATTTCAGACAAAATTTTGTTTCGTTATTTCAGTTTCGTTTTTAATTTGTTACTATTGTCACTCGGAAATTCGGATTCATCCGAATGCTCGATCAAGGAAAATTTCATCCAAATTTCGCACACGTCTACTGTAGACCACGAGGTCAAGGAGATTGTGAGAAAGAAACAACATATAGGTTTGCCTTGAAGTAAATATAAAGCCTGTGTTTTTAACCACTTCCTGTCCGGCCCATGTATATAAACGGCTGGACGGTGGCAGTGCAGGAGCGGGTGGCCATTTATAAACTGCTTTCCTGGCTCCCTGCTTGTGCACGCTCCCTGGGAGCACGCAGCACCGCGATACGGTGCCTGCTGTGTCCTCCGGACATAGTGGAACACCGATCGTTGGACGGGACCTCTGTGTGAGGTCCTGATCATGTGATCATTGATTGGCCAATTAGTGATCACATGCAGGGTAGTAAGCAAGATGTCACTTCTGACATCATTGCTTACTACATGTGAAATCTGTGAATGATCACAGAGATCACATGGTACATGGCTATTCACAACAGCCTTGTACCATGTGACAAGCTGTGGCCAGTCACAGCTCACACAGCAGTTCTCAATGGCTGTGAGAATGCAGCCAGAGAGAAGGAGAAATGATTGCTTTTACAGCCTTTATGGCTATAAAAGCAATCAGTGTAAAAAAAAAAAAAATCTTCATCACCCCCCACAAGTAGTAGTGTCACCATGGTGACACTGTACTGCTAGGGTGACAGTATGTAAAAAAAAACCCCATAAATAATAATATAAAAAATAAAATAAAATGTAAGAAAAAAGTTTAAAAATTATAATTTTTGGTTATAAACTAATTTGGGTTTTTTTTTTTCTAAAAAAGATAACAGAATAAATTTTGGCCAAGATTTATGATGAAATATTATTTATTTGCAAAATTTTATAAGAAAACACTTTTTTTCAAAATTTTTTGACTTTTTCATTTACATAGCAAAACAATAAAAATCCCAGTGGTGAATAAATACCACCAAAATAAAGCTTTATCTGTCTCAAAAAAATGCTAAAAAATTCATATGGGTGTTGCATGACCGTGCAATTGTCATTCAAAGTGTGATAGCCCTGAAAGCTGAAAATTGGCCTGGATAGGAAGGGGGTAAAAGTGTCCGGACTGGAAGTGGTTAAATTTTGGATAGAGTAGGAAATGGTTAAATGGTTAGTTCACCCTTATCAGAAACTGCCTAGGCAGGTAAGGAGCGCCTACAGATAAAATAAAAACTGTGCAGCTTTGACTGAAGTTGAGTAATGCCCTTGCTATAGGTGTAGGTCATTTACCTGATGAAGCCTGAGAGAACAACTCCCAGGACATTGCTATGGAGGTTACTAAGAGAGTTCTAGCTGTTACTGTTCACCTTCACTGTCACAGGAGCGAGCTCTTAAAACCCTTAGATCCAGGGGGGAGAAAGCACATGTGAAGGGGGTTTGAATCAGAGAAAGAGCTTGCTCCTGTGATGGTGAAGGTAAGCAGTAACAGGTAGACGTCTCTTAGCAACGCCCTTAGCAACATCCTGGGAGTTTTCCAGTAAGGCTTCATTAGGTGCATTAAATAGCCTTCACCTATAACAAGGGCATTATTCAACTTTAGTCAGCCTCAGATGTTGCTTTTTTCTTAAGACGCCCCCTTACCTGCATAGGCAGTTTTT